AAGAGAAAATGGATGAAATTGAAACAATGGAAATTAATTGAGATTATTTTAAACTCACTTCATCCCTCCCAAAAATACTATTTCCACAAATCGACATTTCAAAATGGTAAGTCTTACCACCAATTTCGATACCAGATAAATCATCCGAATGATTCTCTTGATTTTGCCATTCCAACTCGTCAGTACCTTCTTGCCAATGCTCTATTTTCTTGGATGTCCTTACTGGCAATGCTCCCCATCCCCATGACCATTCGCCCCCTTCTTTTGAAGGTTTCTTAGGTTCATACTAAGAAGATTCAATGGTTAATGAAGGCTTTCAGTTTATCATGTCAACAATCAATCATATCATCATACCCCTTTACCTCTAGTTCTGTGTCACTTAAGGGGCTAGCCCTGTGCGTCCGTCGCTCCGTACTAACAAATCATGCAACAAGTTTTATCAATAAGAATGAGACAATGTGATTAGCACAAAAATTTAATAAGATGATGTCATACGGCTTTTCAGGTTTACGTGTCTCATCCAGTTCGGTGTCAGAAAAGGGTCCTTCAGAATTTTGCCCTGTTAAAAATTTGTTATCACTGGTAACTTCAGATGCAAAACAAGATAATGTCGAAAGACTGTGGCAGTCATGAGAGCGGTTTCCAACAAGTTCTTCAAAGAAGAAACATATTAGGATGTTCTTGTTTCGAAGACCTTTCCTATAACAGTCCACAGCCTTGTTAGACTAAATGAAGATTACAAAAAAAAAAAGTACTGACAATTTGGATGAACGGAAGGCATAGAAAGAGCTTCTTCAAGACCGGATTTTATATTTCCATTTTCTGGCTGCAATATAACCTCGTCAAATTGGGTTTCTGCAAGTTAATTTACGGTAATTCGAGGTACGATGAGATTATTATCATGATCTCTTTTAAATATGCTTTAATATATATTAAATACAATTACACACCTAAATGCGAGTTAGCATATTCCTCTCCTCCTGTGAACGAATCGATATGGTCTTTATCTGAGTGATCAACACTTCTTTCGGTATTTTCAACCATAAGCCCTGCATGTCCATCGTCACCTTAATTGATTTTATTTTGTTAATTACCACGTTCATCGTTCTCACCTTTGCCAACTCAAATAATCTAGGAATAAATTGTGAAATCATTACTTGATGTCGAATCGATTTGTTTATTATTTTCGTCATAATTAACGACAAACGTTGAATGAAATTCTAAAGTTGATTCTTGGTGTTTATGTTGAACCAGAGTTTCCACATTCACACCTTTGTCATCCCGATCATTCACGGTAAGGCATTCTTCATTGATTGCATTTTGAACTTCGGTTCCTCCGGCGACGTCATCTGATGTTGGATCGGTGAGATTTATAGAGTCCGAGATGCTTCCAGAATTTTTCAGGCTTTTTTCAAAAACCTTTTGTTCAATATCCCCTTCATATCCATCCTCCATACCAAAATCTATTTCGAGAGGTAGATTAAGATCGTTTAGTGAATAAGCCAAGAGCACGACGATCCAAATGCGTTTATGTCCTCACCGGCACTTATTCTATGGTTATTCTTTGGTGTGCCCCTATGATCTTTCGTTACGATAAAAATTAGGTACAATGTTCATGGTTTAATTTCAAAATGAGTAATCTGGTTTAGCCTACCATCATCATTTAGAATTGACGAGGTTCGACCGGCTGAAGCTCCCAAATCAAGAAAATCTGGTTCCTGATAAAAATTTTTATTCAGTTAATAAACCAATAAATATGAACTAAAAAAACACAAACAAAACAGTTACCTCAACATTCGGTAAAGGATCGCTTGGTCCAGCAAGCGGCGAAGTCTGAAGTTCTTCGGGCACTACATTTTCAGTTTCAAAGACAAAAAATGCTTCACCTGCTTCACCAATCTTCATTGGAACGTCAACAGCTTGTTTATTCACTGTCACTTCAACCTAAACAAGGAATGGATAGATCTATGCATATTGCCTCATTCAGAGAGATAAGTAATAAAAAAAAGGTTATATACACATAATAAACACCTTTTTTTCTAGCGGCCTCAGGACAGAAAGTTTTCCGAAACGGACGTGAAATGGGGAGCAGGCAAGATCTCCATTAGGTTGTTGAACGACGACGACATCAATAGCGCCGGAAAGGGTTGAGGGATTTATCTCTCTGTAAAACTGATTGACCGTAGACACTAATTTGTAAACAGATTTCATTATTTTGATGCCTTCTTGCTAGGTCAAGATAGAAAGTCCGAGAAGCAAAGAATGCTATGATGTAGCAATAGCACATGTGTTTTTTAACCGATTACTTACGTAATGACAAATTTTTAATGCCCTGGCATGAGAACACGAATTTAAAAATTCACTATATCCGGTTAGGTTCGGAAAATATTTTTGATCACGTGGAATTAATGCGTTATGCTAAATGATGTCATGTTTTAAACGGTGGTTCTTTCCTTCCTTCAACATGTCAGATTCGATTGTATGTATGTGTATCTAGATTATCTGAAAAATCTTGACGGAGATAATTATATGATATTATATAATTTACCAGATATAAACGCATTTTAATAAAATAGTCGGTTCTCGAGATTAATCCAAGAAAGCATTTCAAATATCAACCTGCACCCATTTCACTTAAGGTGTGGTGGAATACTTTCGGTAATACCACATAATTGCATTTCCCCGGTCACTTCATTATATTTGATAGCCATGTGTCTTTAAGAGTTCTAACGGTCACCACGAGCCATAATTGACCATCGACATTAAAAATTGTTCAATTTTTTCATTTATCCTCGTGTCTGCGCGACGATCAACCATATAATTCTAACTCGGGGAAACGACAAAATGATGTAAAATTACCCTCCAACACATGCACGTGTTGGTATCCATTTTGAGAATGGCTTCCGACAGGATATACGTTTGTTTATGACCCAAAGAAAAACATTCATCTTCAGATTCGACGTTAAAAGAAATCACCGATTGCAAAATCAAATGTGATTGGATGAAAATTTTTTTTCGAGATCTATAATTGTGGTAAGTAACTTTAGAATTTTAGAATTAGGCATAAGCGATCATGCCTTCTGAGAAGCCGTTCCACCATCGGCCCACCCTCAAGCAAATTAACAAACCTTTTAAGTCAAAGCATGCGACCAAAGGCACTCTTAAAGAGCAGGCGAAGGGTTAAGATTGAATTCCAAGTGCAAATGTAAATCCTACGTGGTGAAATTCACCTTAATTCCATAAATACAGGAAAAACAAATCGTAAGCCCATAAAACAAGTTCGATCTAATTTTATCTCAAAAGCCGATCGCCGTAACGCTGCCAAGTTAGAACAGCAGAAGAAAAGGGCTGAATTGGTAAAAGCAAACAGGCTCTTCGAGGGACGGCACGGCACACCCAAGATAGTGGTATGAAAAAATTTTCTCTCTCCCCCTCTTTTTTTTTTTTACCTCTTCATAATTTAGGAAGATGACTGATTCTCGAACGAATGGTAAACGTTGTTAGGCGGTTGTCCCTCTATGTGCAGACGTGAATTCGCATAGTGCTGTAGAAAGTATCTATTCCAGTATTGGGCAACCGACTCCATCGGTCACCAAGGGCATTTCTTTTTTAAAGTAGGTGTCTGTCTCAAAAATCTGATGTTCGATCGTTTTGCCTTGACGTGACCACCAAGTTGATCACCCATCTTGAAATAATTAGTGCCGAACGTTTCAAACAAAAGTTACAGTTCATTCTACTAGGCCGTAACTTCGCTGATATAATAGATGCGTGTAAAGTCGCAGATTTCATATTATTTGTAGTTTCGGCGGAGGTGGAAGTAGATCAATTGGGCGAATTGTGCGTCCAGACCATTCAATCACAAGGTTTCCCGACATTGATTACAATCGCTATGGTACGTCACAATCTTTTCAAATTTATGTAATCGATCAGATAGCACTTTTTATATATGACCCTAGAAAGTATTGATTTTTTTCTTTCTTTCTTTTTTTTTTTTTTCCTTGATAATTGTCGATAAAAAAAGCATGCGGAAAAAATTTCACAAAAGAAACGAAACGACGTCAAGAAATCACTGCTAAGTTTTATTAATTATTTTTTCCCGAATGAAGAGAAGATACATGCTTCTGATCAACCACAGGTAAAGATTTTGGTCATCGATGATGTACCGATTACTGATTTTTTATACGCTTGTTCAACAGTACTTACTGGTTACTATTTCAGGATGCTCTCAATGTGCTTCGAATAATTTGCACGCAAAATCCGAAACCAATAACATGGAGGGAAACAAGACCATATTTGCTTGCAGAAGAATTGAATTTTGATCCGGACATTGATAATGTAACACGTATTTATTTTTTAAGCGAATAAATTTATTCGGCTTTATTTTGATGTGAAATCTCGTCTTAAACCTAGAATTCGGGAACGCTCAGGGTTTCTGGGTATGCCAGAGGATTACCATTTTCGGCAAATCGATTGGTGCATTTGCAAAATTTTGGCGATTTTCAATTAAATAAGGTACGAAAAAGTAACCTTTTTTGAGTGGATATTCGGATTCTTGTATTCTCATGCTGCTTCATTTTTCTTCCCTGGAAGATCACTACATCGTTTTCGAAACATCAAAGGGATGACAAGGAGATGGTGGGTTCCCTTTAAATGGTTAAGCTTGTGGATTATAAATAAACCTTCGAATTATAATTCCATATTCTGTATCAATGTTCGACCATTGATTGTTCATTTATTGTCAGGCAGAAGACATTCAAATTTTAGAAGTTGCGAATCCGAGTGAACAGGCATGTGAATGCCCTGATTATCATTGTAAGCGGTTCATCTAAATAATATCTTCGAATTATCAGGACTCTCTGATTGCAGAAAATGAACCAAATTTAATGGAGAACGATCAAACCTGGCCAACTGAAGAAGAAATGGCCGGATACGAACGTAAGAGACCTCTGACTAAATAACAAGGTCGAATATTTGAAGCTAATAGCTGCATCACGGATAAACTTTAGACCGTATAAGACCGGTTGAAGATGTTCCAGATGCACTCCCTGGTACGACGCCAAGTAAAGTTGTCAAGCGCGTGCCTAAAGGAACGTCAACTTATCAGGCTGCTTGGATAGTTGATTCCGAGTCAGATAGTGAATACATTTATAGTGATGATGAGGGGGATGTTATTATGAGTTATGAAGAGGAAGAGTCTCGGTCGGTTGTTACGGAAGAAGCAGGCGAGTCGAATGATGTCGAATATGAAGAAATCGAAGTTGAAGAAAGAAAGGGTAAATTCAATACTAATCTAGATCCCGAAGAAGAAGAGAGACAGTAAATAGTCAATTCGATTTTACTTTACTTCGTTGCTTCTATCTGTTAACTATTGTTTCGAATGCAACTACTTTTTGCAAAGATTAAAGGAATATCTGAAGAATCGGGAAAAGGAACACAAAGAAGATCTCGAATTTCCTGATGAGGTGGATACACCACTAGAAATTGCAGCCCGTGTAAGATTTCAGAAATATCGCGGTTTACAGAGTTTTCGAACTTCTCCATGGGACCCCTATGAAAATCTACCAATTGATTATGCCCGCATATATCAATTCGAGAATTATAAAAGAACCAAGAAAAGAGTAATTTCTCAGGCTTCGGCTGGTGGGAGTAAAGTAAAGGTTCGATCGAAACTCGTTGATATTTAATTCCAAGAATAAGAGTTACGTTCTGATTAAACTTCTTTTTCCATTTGAAAAGCCTGGAACACCCATCACTTTACACATAGCAAACGTCCCTAAAGAATTGGCAGGTATGCGAGAAAGGAAATCATGACGTTCCCCTATTATCATAAATGTTTATAAATGCTTACTTAAATAATTATTTGTCAAACAACAGAGAATTATGATCCGTCTAGACCATTCATTGTTTTCGGCCTTTTAGAATATGAACACAAAACCTCGGTCTTGAATTTTATAATTACACCAAACAGTGAATACAAGGAACCAGTGAAATCCAAGGTATTGTGATATGCTTTTCAACTTCGACACGACAACCTTCGTATGACACCACCTCATTTCATCAAGGATCCAGTCATTATGCATTATGGATTTCGGCGTTACGAAGTAAGACCTTTGTATTCGCAAAATACTTTAGGAGGCAAAGGAACAAATAATGTCCACAAATATGAAAGGTTCCTTAATCCTGGAAGGACATGCGTTGCGACAATCTATGGCCCGATTCAATTTGGAAAGGCGCCGGTGATCATCTATAAAGAAATGGACGATGTCAATCGTTAGCATTAATATTTTGGTTTTTGTTTCTTCCTACATGATCAACATCGACAAGGATGAACACAAAGTATAACTGTATTATTCGTTTCATTTTATAAAGTACCAACGCTTATTGCCACAGGATCCTTTTTGAGTCCGGACCCTCAACGTATAATTGCAAAGCGCATTATCCTTACCGGACATCCGTTCAAGATCAATAAAAATTCGGCCGTAGTACGGTACATGTTCTTCAATCCTGGTATGTAATGATGGTCAATGATCTCTGATTTTCAAATATAAGAAATTTATTGACTTTTTTTTTTTAAACGATGTTCATGTAGACGATGTATTATGGTTTAAGCCAGTCCAATTGGTCACAAAATACGGTCGAACCGGGCATATTCGCGAATCTTTGGGTACGCACGGATATATGAAATGCATATTTGATTCACCCATAACCCAACAGGACACCGTTATGATGAATCTATATAAGCGAATGTTCCCGAAATGGAATACAACGCTGTTATGGCGCAAAGGGTTAAAGGTAGAAAGTGTGGCGACATCGAAGGAGTCCAAGAACAATACACAGGATGTTGAGATGGTAGAGTGAACCCAGTTGTATTATTGAACATCAGAATTTGTTCAATTGGATCAATGAATCGCGAGAAGGTCATTATATTGATCAGGATTTTTATTTAAAAGTTTGTAACATGCCTTTTAAGTAAATGAAAATAAATAAATACATTTTGCGTTGGGCATACATAGATAAATTTTCTAAATGCCGATGAAGTCGATAGAATTTACACCAAGTTTTCTTCCTTATTACCCAACCTGGTGATCTTAACATAAGCATCAGTGCCATAACCGTCCATAGTAAAAATGGTTAACTCTCCACCCAAGTACTCGGCATACACTTTGCTCATGGGTAACCCAATACCCAGGCGTAAATCTGGAGGTATGTCGAATTGTTCATATTCTTGCACCGTTGCAGCCATTCGTGGAACCTTGGAAAAGTTCGTAAACTTGTGAGAAAGTTTCTTGTTATTACTTGCACGTGAAAACGACCAAATGTGCGGATATATTTCATCGGAGATTCCGCCACCTTGATCTGACACACGGATGCAGATGTCCGTCTGGCCCGAACATATTGTCACTAAAATTGGTGGAAGCTGTGTTCCCTGCTCCTTAGATGATTGTGAACTTTGCGATGATATTAGGCGTCCGTGCTTCTCTATTACACCCCTCATAGAATTTTTTAATAATTCGTAAATAATATATTCTATATGATCGGGTATATAGGAAAATATGGTATCGGTATCACCATTTATAATAAGGGTTGGTGGTTCAATGTTATAAAAAGTTCTGTATGAACTGCTCGACATGTTTGCGCATTTTTCTATTATTTCTTTGGCATTACATTTAGTCGATACCACTCCAATATATTCGCCATTTTCATCCGATCCGTAAGCAGGATCGTGCCAGTTTTCGGTTAACGCAATTTGTTGTTCGGCCAAAACTCTTCTCGATATACGTGATCTCAGCATAGTGTTCATAAAACGGTCAACTTGGCCTCCAGTTAAGTGTCCACCACATTCCATAATTCCTATGGCCAATTGCGGAATCACAACCAAATGTTCTTTCAATAAAGTTTTCAAGAGTTTACAAAATTCATCGTTTTCTTCCATATTTTTTATGGGAGGAAATTTTGTTAATGTTTCAAACGCACTCCAATATAAATCGTACACTCTCGATATATGCGGATTTGTTCCGACAATAAATGGCAAATTTTGAAAATCTCTGATTCTATGAGCCAGTCGTATTGGAAGTTCGGTTCGAACATAGTTCCCGCTTCGAATAATTCTTTCTTCCGACAAATTGCGGCCAAAGACGATGAGTTGTCTGAGTGTGATCTTGTTTGCAGGTTGTGATACATATTGATCAAGGATTCGATTTTGATAAAAATGTTGCGGTGAATTGGCTCTACTCTGTGACGATGAATTAACTAACTTTTGTTTAGCCGAAGTAGGTTGAGAGGGTGAAGAAGGGGGAGGTGGAGGTGGAGACGCAGAGTTGGGTAAAATAGTTTTCACATTAGGGTGCAAGGAAGTTAATTGTATAGGTGCCGCTTTAGAAGTTGCTGTTATGGATAGAGAACGCTGGAAAGCATTGCCCAAGGAGAAGGATTTCGAAGAAAGTGAGGTTTGTGTCGAGTAGTTAGATGGATATTGGATCGTTGTCTTCGAAAGGTTAGCCCGTTGTAGCCAACGAACATTCGAATGGCGAATAGTCGGAAGAATCATTTAAGGGAAATGTTAAAGGATCAACTCTAGTTTTATATGCAGTATGCGACGTGAATTATTTTGATTATCGCATTTGTATTACTTCATCAACATGATTCATTATGAGAAAGACCTATTTTTTTTTTTATGGTGAAATTTATTTCGGGCATCCTTTAAATTGAGATTACGTAATATTTTAAACTAATTTTTAGCGAGTTGTCGAGTTCATTGTAGTTATCTAGAGATATTTTTACATCGAGAACAAAAAAACTAATTTCCATCACGGAAGCTAAAATCCCCCCCAAAAATAAAAATCCAATTTTCCAGAAAAACATAACTGAGCTATAGTGATAAAATGCTTTACAAGTTCTAGAAAATGGGAAGTAAATAATTAAAATTATCTTTTTCTAGAATAAGTATGTTAGTTATGATTTAGTGCTATCCATACCTCTTCTAATATTCATCCCATCAAATTAAATAATTAAATCTTTCAATATTTATTCTAGTTGATAAAGTGAGCTTTTTTTTTTTATTCCTACGTGTCTAGTAATCTTTCGACTTTTGATTAGTACAAATGGTTTTTCGATTTCGGATTTTGGGATCTTTCAAATTTATTATCAGATATTTTTTGAGAAGAATAAAATAATCAATAATTAAGCCTTTTTTTTTTTTATTAATGTTTTACTTTTTTTATTTATTTAAACACTGGCTCATCCTGCATCACTCTGGGTCACTTTATTAAAAGAAGATCATATTTAGGGACAATCAGGATAAATATTTCTCTATACTATCTGAGGATTTACAGATCATTAGAAAGAAAATAGTACAAAGGGCTATCTATTTACATAACTCGATCTAAGTCTAATCTAACCAGAATAAGGAAAATACATGATCACTTAATGTAAATAATCTCTTCTAAAAACAAAGAGGGGATTAACCAGATACACTTGATAATGCATTGCTGGTTTTTCTTTATCATTAGATTTGATACTATCTAGGATTTTAATCCATTGATTAGCTTATTGCCACCCATTAGAGGGGCCTAATCTATCAAGACTGCCTAAGATACTTAACACCATCTGGTACTAAGGGTTACTTGTACTAGTCAAGAACCAGTCAATGTAAAAACAAAGAGATAAAGGAAAAGAGAAGAAAAATGATGAGAAAAAATTGAAAATATTTATAAGAAAAAAGAATGAAGAAAAAAAAGGGATGCCTAACAATAGCTCTTCTATCCAACTTTGTCTTTAAAAAAATACTCATTTTATAGCTATAATATTTTCAGGAAATAATAAGAGAGAGGAGACTATAGTCTATATAATATTTATCCACTCGTAGTGATCACAACGGATCGAATCGGATCAGATTTTAACTAGATTCGATCTGATATGATTTTTATGAATATGAATCAGATATAGATCTGATTTATTTTAAACTGATCTGATCTGATTCGAAACCATAATAGTTTGATCTGAATCAGAATTTGATTTGATTTGATTCGATCTGAATCTGAATCCGATCTGAATCCAATCCAAATCCAAATCCAAATCTGATTTGAAATTGAATCTGATTCAGATTCAATGCAAAAACAACTTGAAACCAATTTGGTACATATTGAATTTGTTTCAAAATATGTTTCACTATAACTGCTTTAATTAAATTAAATTAAATTAAATATATTTAAATTAATCTGGCTTTATTTTAATAAAAAAATTTTTAACTAGTATATTTCCTT